CCCCCCGTGTACAAAAGAGCAGCAGTAATCAGAGGGCCTTGAGTAGGATTCCGGGCTGGAGGGGAGAAGGTGTAGACTCTAGGCCCTCAGGGGAGGCCTCAGGGGAGAAGGGTGGGGAGCCTAGTTCTGAGGCTCAGATACAGAGGCTGGGAGGAAAGAGCAGGTTGGCCAGCACATCCTCCTGTATCTGTGGGAAGGAGAGATGGCCCCAGGTGTCCAAGGTCTGTCTGTTTCCCACGCGAAGATCCTAGGGTGACAGGTATTGGAAGACTAAGGCAGCTAGCTGAGGCTTCTGGCTGAGTTTGGAAGGCAGGCTTGCGTATTAGCCTCTGTTTATTCCTCTGAACATGGTTTTGTTTTTGTTTTTTTAAAGATTTTATTGGGGAATTGGGGGAGGGGGAACAGACAAGTTGCTGTCCTTTTGTTCTTCAGTCTAGTTGTGGAGGACGTTGCTTCACTAGCCCAAGTTGGCACCATCATTGCACTCTTCCCGGTCGAGGCAGATCAGTCGCCCGCTTCTGGACGGCCGCTCACTGCGGCTGCTGGCCGCTCACGCTGGCTGCTGGCCGCTCACGCTGGCTGCTGGCTACACTCGTTAGCCCATGGCAACCCACTGCAGCAGGGGCTGCAGCCTACGCTGTCGCCGGCGACTCAAGGCAGCCCAGCTCCAGGTTGAACTGTTGTTCAGCATCTTAGCTGTGGAGGGCAGTGTCACTGGCCCTCATATGGGGGATCCGAACCGGGGCCCTCTGGCATCCCAAGCCAGCTCTTAACCATCGGGCCACTCGGCCTGCCCGCAGAGCTCAAACTCTTGAGCAAGCTCTTAACCAACTGAGCCACTGGGCTGGCCCTTATATAGGTTTATACATTGGTCAAATCACATCAAGCTTTATACTTAAAACATGATTTTATTACATATGACAATTTAGAGGGTAAAGTAGCCATATTTCAACTCATAATGAATAATGGATCTAATTAATAATTATCAATGGAGGCTAAAACTGCTTGATGAAAGATTGAAAGGAAACTTTATATTGTATAGTTGAATCTGGGAACAAACAAGCCTATATGATCAACTTTGACATCATTAATACTAAGAAAGAATGTACCTTCAGATATTTCCAAAAGGGTTGGGCCAGATTACCCTTTCTAAATTTCCAGGCTTATTTTATAAGATCTTGGTATGACAATAGTATTGATTATGAATTTTGAAGTAAGATTAGCTAATGAGTTTTGGAAGACTCCCATCAAGAATAATTCTTGGTTAGGGTATTTAAATTCTGGTGGGTCCCATAATAAGAAATATTCACTTTGAGGAAAATGCATGGTCTATTGCACCTGGAGTGAATACTCTTTGCCAGGTAGAAAGCAGAGATTACCATTCTCAGTACACTCAATACAATAGGCATACAGCCAGGAAAATCGTGAAGGCACCATTAGTCCTGCAACCTAAACAAGTGGACAAGAAAGAATCCATCGCCTTTACCGGTTGTTCAATTAAAGACAAAGTTTCATTGGCTGTCTTGCTGTGATTTATAACATACCGGGGCAAATTAGATAAACAGAAGTGATTCATTAGGACAATGTCAAGGAAAGGATCCATAAAGTGACTTGGGTATTCAGACAAGGGAGAATTTGTATAGCAATGGTGCGGGTGCTGAGGAGGTGTATGGCAACGGGGGGTGGAATAGAGAAAGATTAGGAGAGGAAGGGGAAAAAGGAAGAGTTGTGATGTATCTGGAATGTACATCTTGACAGGCCTAGAAGTGGCGTGTGTAAGCTGTGAATGTTACAGAAGCAGGAAATCCCTTATTTGCTCTTTCCTATTAACATTGTATATAAACGTATTTTGTAAATGACAAGAACACCATGACTGAGTCTGAAGTGGACACGGTCCATTGGGGAAAACAACTTTGTGTCCACGCAGGACAATCTCGAGTGTCCACCATCCAATGTGTTGCTATTTCTGTTTAATTACAGGAACGGTAATGGGAGTTTTATATAAAACTAAATGTTTGTGAATTTTCAGCTGAGGGAGTTCAGTTTACCTCAACTACCTAAGCTAACCACAGGGTTCCAGAAAGGTCTTGTTGTAAATGTTACTGTACTGGGCCTCTTGGGTCAGTCTTCTTGGGGTGCTAATGTGCCCATTCCTATAATGGGAGAAACCTGTTGTTGAGAATCATTATCACCTGCCTGAGACAGGAACCAGGCTGCAGGCACCAGAAGGATGGCCCAGAATTACAGAGAGAGCTAGGGGACTTCCAGGACGGAGCAGGCAGGAATCAAGGGCAGGCAGAGTGTGAAGGGGGAGAAACATCACTAACATTCTACAGTGAGACCTCAGGAGGGCAAATACCTTAGACTTTGAAGTTACAATAATCATGGTTGCAGCATTTATGAACATAAGTATGATTGTTGAAATTAAATGTCAAGTCGCTGCAGAATTTCTGACACAGCATATATGATAACTGGAGACGAAAATCTGTAATAAGAAAGAATCATAGAAAATAAGCCAATAATCTTAGTTCTCGAAAGACAAATCAACCCTGGCACCAGTCCAGTCAGTGAAAATGTAATTAGCATCAGGGCAGGATTAGGGATGACTTCCCTGCTTACACTTGGACCCAGGCAGGAGGTAGAGAAATCACTGGCCCCTGCAGGGGTTGTTTGCCCCACGGCCTTCAGCTCTTTGCAGAGTTGTTTCATTCTTTTTCCCACTAGAACAGGGGTCGGCAAACTGCGACTCCAGAGCCACATGCAGCTCTTTGGGTACATTCTGTCTCAAAAGTTTGCCAGCTCCTGGAAAAGCCAATCCTGTCCCTCACAACAATTTAAAAATTATTCAAGAGCCATAAATATATTTTTCCCTAATCACCATTATGTGAATAATATCCTTTAAAAATTTTATAAATGAAACTATGATAGTTTTATTTTCATTTACAATTTTACTTCAGAGCCTGTGATTCATGAGCCACAGTTTGCTGACCCCTGGCAGCTCTTCCATCTCAAAAGTTTGCCAACTCTTGCATTAGAAGATTAGCAACTAGTGCTTCATGTCTTCAGAGGTGGAGTCAGTGTGGTCAGTTTTATTGGGAATATAGAATTCCCACCTTCTTCCTCCTACCTCATCCTCCCAAATCCTCTTCTGTCTGCATGCACCGAGACCCATGCCAGGGGCATTCAGCACTTTGACTCCTCTGCTGGATTGGCCTTAGTCCAAGATACAAAATCGCTGCAGTACTCTCCTAAGAATTTTCTAAGAATCTCACAGCACCCCGTGACCCTCTAACTTACCCCTGTAAATCTTTACAATCATGCATGTCTCATCCTTCTGGGCAACACAAACACCAAAGCCTCTTCTACAGCGATCTGTCTTTGTGCGGAGATGGCATGTGATGCACTTCAGTGGTGTCACTGCTGGAGAGTGCAGAGCTGGTGTGAGGCTGGGGGACACGTGGGCTTAGAAGGAGCTGAATGTGTGTGGCCTGGGGGAGGGATGGGGAGTGGGTGAAGAGCTGGTGGTGGGGTATCACATTTTAAATGGTTGGAGCTCTCACCAACTCCATATCCCAGAGAAATGCTGCTGTTTGAATAAAAGGATTCTGGTCCCAACTAAAGCCCTTTAACCTGGGTAACTGAGAAAAGAGTTAGCCTCCATGGCATTGATTTTTCCAGCTTAAAGATGGTTTGATTAATGTTGGCCTGGTCTGCTCGGCAGCACTGTAGGTGAACAGGAGTGTGATTATGAAGGGGAGCGCATTAAAATATTTTACCCAAGCTAGTGTTACTATGATGGGATTTCTGACATTTGCTGCTTAGAGATTGTTAGGTGACATACTCTATTTTGAATTTCAAACTGACTCTTTGTGAAGGCCTCTTGGATGACAGCATGGTCAGTGACACTTTATGTTGTACTGTGGGGTGAGCTAACCAAAATGTGGGTTTAATTTTTAAAAATCTCTCTCTCTCTGTGTAACTACATGAGAAAGGAAAGGAGCATTTATTGAGCATGTCTTTCCGGCCTCACAAAAGCCTTGTACGGGGCCGGCCGAGTGGCGCGATGGTTGAGAACTCGCTTGGGATGCCAGAGGGCCCCGGTTCNAGCTCTTAACCAACTGAGCCACTCGGCCGGCCCTAGTGGCAGTTAATCTTTATCGGGCCACTCCTGCACCCACTCTCACTGCCAAGTTCTTCCTCACCCATTCCAGAGCTTCAGCTGCAGGCCCTAGCCCACTGTCCTCTCTGGACAGATGAACTGCCCGCAGAGGGGCTCCCACTGGCGAAAGTTTCTGACATCTATTGTGACTAAGAACTCTGGGAACTAGGGAAAACTACAAAAAGTTTTCTGTGTTATTACTTCAGCCCTCTCACATAGCTTTTTATTTGGGTAGCTCTGGTGAGGATCCACATGGGGAGATAGAGATAATAGATCTCATGGTGTCATGTCTGGTGATACGCAGCCTTTATTCTTCCCACTGCCTTTTTAAAGCAAATTTGTGTGAACGTAAGGTCAATGTTGAACCCTCGTGGGCATTGTACATGGGTTTTCTTGGGTAGGCGAGAACAGGCAGAAGTTACAGCGAGGGAGCAGTGTAACCTCCAGGGCCCCTTCTCCAGTGTGACTGGTCCATGTCCCTGCAGCCTGTTGTAGGAAGGGCTCGTGACAAGCATGTGCTGTGACTGCAGTCATGGAAACTGGCCGAGAACTGCTGTTTGGGGCTGGATTGCAGGAACCTGCCACCCTGTAATCATCACTCCCAAATGTGGTGGGTTACTGTTCCAGCTGGGAGCTGGAAGGCAGGAGCTGGGCAATGGAAAGGGGCTGCAAGGGATGCGCTCGAGGCAAAGCCCTCTCCCCCTTAGAGACTGAGACTCGGTCTCGGAAAAGCCTCAGGAGGGGGTCGTGGAGACACCTGTTGGAGGAGTCCTTGTGAAGGAGTTAGTTGTTGTTAGTCTGGCCTTCCCACAGTCGGTCTCCTTTCAGCCATGTGGATGAGTTAAGCTCCTAAGCCAGGCGTGTGGTAGGAGGTGAACTAATGCGGTGGTGACTCCAAACCCATGTCTGATCCCAAATGCATATTCCTTGCTTCTCTCCTCTGTCGGACAAGATCCCTGACCTGATAACTGGGAGAACATGGATTGGGATCTCCTTCTGCCTTTACATCGTGGTGGCATTTTAATTCAGTCCTGTTTGTTGTGCACAAAGTGAAGACATTGGACTACACTGTTTCTGTACCCAACTCCTGTATCTTATGCATATGGTAAAATGGTGCCTTCGAGGCTGTCCAAGGCTAGAAAGTTTGGAGCACAGTTAAAGGAGGGTAAATGGGGCAAGGTGAGGAGCTGATCTGGGTTAGATATGGAGGAGGAGAGGGTGGGTGAGGGTTTCCGGGGTGAGACCCAGGCATGCAGGGCAATGTTCTGGGGTGGAACCAGGCTGCTAGAGGGACCTTGGGTCTGAAGCAGGTCTAAGCGTCAGGAGAACTTGTTGGCCTGGGAGTGAGGCAGATTAGATGCTGTGGAGAAGAAAGCATCATGGAGAAGAAACGTGACTGTCCTCCTGCCACACACTTCCTTCCTCCTGCCTGGATGGGGCTCTAATAGAGTCCGGTAATAAAGGACGTCTCCATCTTCTCACTCACCTGGGACCAGGTGAATCCACTCTCGGGTATCCTTCCTGCTGAGCAGGAGCAGGTGTCGTTTGTTTGAGATTGGCAGAAGTGGTTGAATAGGATAGCAGTGAATGCAGAAAAGTTTCTTTGGGGGAATATTTGTTTGGATGTTATCTTCCCCTGTATCTCATGCCCTTTCACTGTTTTCCTGCAGGGGAAACATTAACCCAATTTAGG